ATACCATGGGGGGGGAGGGGGGGGGCCGCGGCGGCGTGACCTTTGTTTTTTTAAATAACTAAATATATATATATATATGTGTGTGTGTATTTGTATATCTATATAGTTTGTTGGAGAGAGCATGAAGGGAAGCGGCCAAAAAGACCCTAAAGGTCTCTGCCACAGCAGGGAGGGCCTTTCGGGGTCTCTTCGGATAGTGAGATAAAAAACGGAACCGTGCCATGCCCGCCGTCTTGAAGTCAAACGAACCTTGTGACGCATTCCGCGACAGATGGCTTTGCTCCCATCAATTCTAGGCCAGTCAGTGGCTTTCCAAGAATCTTTGCCCATTTGGCCTCAAACCATGCCTGCGCCGGGCACGTTTAGCAGGGTTTCCGGCAACTGTCAGCACATCAGACCGTTCTAGGCAAAAAGCTACAGGTTCGGAAACTATCTGCTTCGAACATCCCCACCCTTACCATTTGTGGTTCCGAGGCATCATCAATGGCTTCCAGCAGCAAGTGGTAGGGAGCATGCATCAGCAATGTAATTCCAAAACGTTGAACAGTACATTCCAAGCGCTACCTTTGCGGGGTGGCTTGGGACAGGCTTGGATTTTTCATAGTCATGCTCTGTACCCTGGTGCAGGGGTCACTGCAGCATACCTCTGGCGTAGTTTGGGTTGGGCACAGTAAGGATATTCTGAGATTGGGCGCTGCAGGGATATTGTGTAGTTCTGTGGACTGGGAGACCTTGGGGTTGGGCGCGGCAAACTCTGGGGTTCAGCAGTTGTGGATAAAATTCAGGGGTGGGGCAATGCAAGCTCAGGGGCGCTGCCGGAATACTCTCAGGTTGGACACAGCAAGGATTTCAGCTCGCGGTTGAGCACTGTGGCACTGCAGGGCTCTGCAGTTGGGCATTGCAGGGGCATTCTGCGGTTGGGCATTGCAGGGATACTATGCGGTTGGGTACTGCTGGGATACTAGAGACAGGTCGTTTTTTCGCTTACGTTACGGGCAGCCGCAATTGAAGAGGATTGAGCCACTGAGCAACAGACTAAGGTGGAAATTGCATCAAGCTCGAACATTCCACTTCGCTCAAAGTGCCACTTGGCTTTTGGCATGTCGGTCGCGGCAACCCACACTCCCGTTGGGAAGATCCACAAGACTTCCAGAAGATGAAGTGCACTGCAAATGTTTTTGCAATGTCTTCCAACACTGAGGCGAGGCAACACAGTCGAGGCGCGGTCAGTTGCCTCCCTCTGACCTGCGGGGCTGCGTATTTGGCATGTAACGGACCAGTCAGCACGAGACCTCGTGGTGTGATTCTGCGAGTGGCTTTACAGAAAGAAGATCTCGTGTGGCAGGCTACCCATGCAGGTTGGCAATTGATTTCAGCCGAGCACCCGCTGAAAATGTCAGGCATGGGACTGCTTCCTCACAAGTGGGTGGCTTTGAGTGAAGAAACTGGCCCGCCAGGCAATTCTTTCTTCGAGGTGAGGATCCTCAAGAACCCTGATCCGCCGCATGCACAGACGTTCATGGTTCATGCCTGTCTTGAGCTGATTAGTTACGGTCGCGCTTGAAGGGGCAGGTATTCAAAACTCGATTTTCTCATTCCTTGCATGCCTCATGCCCCCGTGGGCAAAGATTCCTGAAGGCTAGTTAAGATTTGCGTGGGCGTTGCAAAGCTCGATGGTTGAATCTAAGTTCCTGTCGAAAGGAGGGCGCCCGGCGACGATGGCGACGCATAAAGTGTCAGGAAGAGCCTTTTATAAAGTGACCGCCTTCTTAGAGACATCCTCCTCTGCCATCCCATGATGACGTGAGCCGATGGCGGTGAATGCTACAAACTGAAGAACGATTGGATCCCAGGAACGTCTGTCAATTAGGCTCCAGCTGCATTGCCTCGAGCCGGAAATTTCGCTCAACCCGAACGCGCTGTGGGTAGCATGCAGTTCCAAGGAAATGAGACGCTGGATGGTTCCTGAGTCCCTCCCTTGAAGAGCGTAGCCGGAGTTCCAAGTTGCCACTGGATGAGTACTAACAGTAGTAGATGTAGCGATATCCAAGTATGTAGTCTCTTGAAGGTAACAAGACCAGGAAAACGGGGGATTTGGAATGGTGCTGATCGTTGCAAATCATTCCGTCTTGTAGGTTACAATTTTGTCTTTGTTCAGCGCGGTTTGCATCGGTTGTTGCGCTCGCAGAAAGTAAGTGCTGGGATATGAAACAGCCGCTTTTTGCGAAGAGACTCTCGTGCAATACTGCCAAACTGGTGAGTCTGGAGGGCTTGGGGTTATTGGACTGGGGAATTTAGCAATTTGCTCGGGTCTCTGCGGTCCGCGTCATCAGGGCAAGTGTGGGCACTTGCCCAAACTACAACCCCCCCTAGAGGTTGTGTCAATAAAACGAGCCCTCGTAGGCCCACTTCTTGTGTTTTTGCGCATCATCCTACTGTGAGATACCTTGTGTTGGCCGTCAGTATCCGTCAGTTTTTTTTTTTTTTTTT